CAAGCGAGGAAGCGGTTATACCGTCTTACCTTCGCGTGCGAAGGTGGTTGGGAGGTTGGTCGACTGCTTAAGCAGTCGTACCACCAGTTGCCTCTCGCTTAAGCGTGAGTGCAACGAACTTCTTAACACTAAAGCACCGACGTCACGTAGAAGCTTCTTCAACTTCTCGTGCGTGGTGCGTTTGTTTAAGCAAATTCAAGACTGAGCTATATTTAATTAATTATAACTAAATATATACTTAACTACTGATTGGCTATATATGTTTATAGAATGGATACGCGACTCTTTAGAAGCGTATCCTGTCGCATGATCTTAAATCTAGAGATTTAAGATCGCAACTGACGTCCTTCTGAGACGTCGCGATGCCTAGCTTCAACAAGCGTCATCCTTTCTCATGTGAATCCATAAATGGATATCACATTCACGAGGGTGGATCACCTTTGTGTATCGCACCCAAGTGACAGGTCAAAAGTAATCATGGATACTTTTAGACCAAACATTAAGTATATTACTTCATGTTTACGTGTAACTAGATGCCCTGTTACGCAAATGCTCGTACAACATGTAAACGTGAGAAATGTGTTCCGCTGTAGGGTGGTGTCATCCACAAATGCTAAGTAAATGTGGGTCTGACCGGACTGCCCGGGAGCTTGTAGCCCTAAAGTGCGAGATCTAAACCGTCCACGGCGAACTAAACAACCCCTGACCGGACCGGGAGAGGTGTGGAATGAAAACCGTTCTCATGTGATGCCATGAGACCAGCGCTTTTCCTGGCGAAGAAAGACGAAAGCCGCGGCGCATGGCTGACGGATGCAGAGGTAAAGCAAGGCGTGAGTTACATCCCTGGTCTGATGATATGGATGCTCCAGCAGCGCACTCAGCGTGGTTAATCGGCTACACGGAGGAAGCGATGCAGATCCTTGTCTCGAGGAGGATGTTGCAGCTAGGTTGTTCTGGTACACGTGCTGGTAAGCTGCCAGAACAGCTTGCAAATTCTGCTTCGATTACAACAAAAGTACAGTTTCCAACGGTCATTTTGCACTGAACGATCCGTAAAATACGCTGAGGATTGCATTCTACTGAACGAATGGATTGTCATGCTGTACACAAGATTCCCTCGATCTGGAGATTCATGAGCACATGTATTAAAAGTGGGAAAATCTTTGGCGAATGGAAGGTGTTAGATGGATAGTTTCAAGAGTCTTCTCACAATAGCGTGAACACTTGCAAAACAAGAAGAGTATCGTGATGCGCTCGCTGGTTATTGGTAAATCGACGCTGTTGTGGGTGATTGCCTTCCACCTCGTTTTCAATCACAAGAAAATGTGCTAGTGTACCGACGTTTGTCCACAATTGAGCCAACTCTTTTACCTGGGTCTCTTGTACCTGAGTTACGAAGATAGCAAGGTCGTAGAGTTTGCAGTGCAGAGATGCAAAGCCCTGAAAGATACTAACATACACAAAGAGTTCATCCCTCAACAGGACATATCGACGTAGCTGTTGCTAGCTGAATTTCAGTATCGAGATATTTATGCAGACGTTCAAGATGCTGGTAACATTGCAGGAGTAGATCTGAAGTTTAGTAAAGAATTGATGGGTACAGCAGTATGTTGCCATGTTTATCAAAGGCGCATCTTTTCTTGATGGAATTCCTCATTCACAAGACTGCTATATAACGATCCAACAAGATACATTGGAATAACTAAGAGAAATATGCTCGACGGTTTCACGTCGCTAAAGGATACTTGCGTCAATGTCCTGGCGTTTCAGCGACCGGCAACGGTACAGCTTGTTTTTATGACATTGTAAGCAGCAACTTCAGTAAAGCACACGACAGTACAAAATAATTCACACACACCTCAGCTTTAGAGTCTTGTGGTATCGCAGCTCAGACTCTGCTTTGACAAACGCTGCAACCTACATCACGTTCATCGTGAGTTTCTTCAGCCACGTCCACATTGTACTTAAACTCGGCTGAGATGGGGATAATCGGGGCGCCGAGAGCGACCGTAGCGGCCACAAACTTCTTCATCTGTTTGTGCTGAGTCACAGTTGCATCGTCCTTAATCCGATCCACCTTGTTTTGCGGAATGATGATATTCTGCAAACGCATGATCGCAATAGCGGCAAAAAGATATTTGGACGTCCGTGACTGCAGGCATACTTCATTACAAGCAGCAGTCAGCAAAGCGGTATCCATGACGGCGACACCGTTCAGCATCGTAGCCATAACAACATAGGAAGAAAGGATGTGACCATCTTTTAGTGTTGGTTTTTTAGAAGAACTCTTACCCGTCTAAGTCGTTCGCTCAGTGGCATCGATATTAATTTGGTAGTTAGTCAATAAGGACGGATGGATGTCTCACGTCTCGGCCCCAGTATAGTCGTATAAAACCATCATATTTATTTGCCAACAGAAAAATTGTGTCTCTTCATTCAAGAATCTGCTGGCTCAAAATGATGCTAAGGCTGTTCTGCAGGATCGTTGGTTTGACGGGAGGTGCGTTCCTTGTGACTATTGATGCGAGCCAGAATATGGGCCACTTAAAAAAGGCCATTAAGGCGATGAATCCGAACAACTTGAAAAACGTTGATGCGTGCAAGCTGCAAGTCTTCCTGGCAAACGACATCGGACGACAAGTGGCTGAAATTCAAGGATGCTGCTGCGCAACAGTTTAATGAAAAGGAGAAACATCCAGATATTCAGCAGATGATTGGTGTAGAGCAAGTGATTGCAACGAGGACTTTACAGCGTTGGCTGTTTGTCGACAACAAGATGCCGCAGCCATCTCTAACAGAAATTCACGTGCTGGTGGTAGTTCCGGAGCAGGAAAATCAATTGCAAGCTCAAAATGTCCATGATTTAGTACGGATGCGAGAAGCCAATATTAGCGAGTCGCGTTTTGCAGTGCTAATGGATGAAATGCTGGACGAAAAGCTGGACGAAAAGCTGGCCCTCTTATACCATAAAACGGCAAAGTCCTACTCCAAGTCGACACTTGGTCATCGTGAGATTGCAAGATTGGAAAAAGATGAACTGTTTTTTGATTTTGCACCGGTAAAAGACGGAGAAACATTTTGGACGGAGAAAATTCAGATTCAATCCGATGCTATCACGAATGAGGCTGACTTCGTGGCATTTGTAACTCCTTTTTTCAGCAGCATACTAGAAAGTTGTGGTTTGGTATTTGTGAATAGTGGGAGATATCCATGGTTGCCTCAGTCTCCAAATTTGAAGAAGAACAAGTACCTCAAACCGAGCGGTTTTGCGACCCACCGTGGGATGTATCATGCCAAGCCTGAATTAGAAGGTCAAGTTCGTCGCCCAGGTGATTTTTTTCGATTCGGAGTAGCAGAGGAAGAATTATTTGACTGCCTCATTCTGTTTGAAAGCAAGCTTCGTATATCTGACGCTGCGTTTGGCCAAGTGGTACAATACCTGCAAAACCTTTGTCCTGAGGATTCAGCATACGCCATTCTCTTTGACCGCCAGTCCTTCTGGTTGATTAAAAGCTACAAGACTGTTGTTTGCAGCGTTCAAAAAGCGAAGTGGATCACCAAGGGCTCGAAATCATTGTTTCAGAACTTTATCTCTAAAAACACGTCGCCATGGGTGGCATACTTGACCAATGCCTGCATTGCATTAAGCGTTGATGTGGTGGAAGGCGATGCATTTCTCGGCCGTGGCTCATATGGACGCGTATTCAAGGTAATTGGACAAGGTGAAAATATTTTTGCGCTAAAAATCTTAACGGATTTTCAGCTTTTTCGTCGAGAGCGGAAAGCCTTGATCGAGGCCGAGCACACAGGCTTGACGATTAGACTTGTTAGCAGAGAGTACATCGAAACTATTGAAGGCTGGGCGCTGTTAATGTATCCTGTCGGGAAAACTCTACCGCGACCAGAGACTCGAGAGGAAGTACGAAGTCTCTTTCAACTGTTATGGCAGCTCCACGCGAAGAACCTGGTCCATGGAGATCCTCGTGTACCGAATGTAATCCTCACTGAAGAGAAGGCTCTCTGGATTGATCTTGCGGAATTATGTGAGGCGTGCCCCAATTTGAAACGACGGGATGCTGAAATGCTTACACGGTCTATCCGGAGACTCCCTTTCCGCTATTCGCTGAGCCTGGCACTGGTGCATTCTCTTGATAGCTATTATCAATGCGCTACGCAAGAAAATCTCGATCATTTGGCCGAAGTAGTCTGGGAAAGCGTATTATCAGCTGCAGGTTAGCTGCAGTTTCTTAATGTCAGGAAACGCCCGAGAGCGGAACCATGTCGAGCCGAATGACGTCATGGTGATGACGTTGCTGCGATGGCGCATTAACTGATTGTGGTCAAGAGCGTGAGTCAGGATAGGAACGATCTAAAAGATTGAAAAGGCTTAGAGGTAGCAAACGGTTTGCGAACTAAGGACCTGAATATAGTGTTGCATCTTGCCATCTTGTTGCCATCTTGCCATCTTGTTGCCATCTTGCCATATAAACATTATTTTAGATAGTCGTAAACTTGATCCACAATGGTACTGGTGTTAGGTAGCAATCAGCCAACAGTATAACCGCAAACATATACCAGTCCTTCATTAAAAACGGTAGTACGTCAGCGAAAGACTCGAAAGTTCAGCAGAAGACACGAAAGAGACGGAGGAGACACCGATCTGGTATAATGGAGCCTGTAGTGGTAGTGCGGGTGAGAGCCTATCAAGTAGTTGCTAATAGCAGACACATACAGATTCCAAGCGGGATGAAAGTGTGTCAAGTGTGTCGAACTCGGACTCGGATGATTCGGACTTGGAATCAGTGACGGCTGCAAAATGGTACTAGTCCAGGTATCAAGGTGATTTCTAAAGAGCTAGGGATGCTAGGACGCGGAGGAGGAGAGGTAGTGCAGGCATGTAATTGTATAGTCCGACATCTTTACGCTGTGAAGAAGGTCAAGCTCGACCCGGACGACAAGACGATGAAGAAGATTTACGTGAAGTAAAGACAATTTCACGAATGTTGCACCGACAAATTGTTTGGTATTTCCAAGCATGGACTGAAGGCAAAAGTCGAATGTTTAGCGACGACGAAGAGGATTCCAAACTGGAAGACGTCAATTTGAGTGACGAAGACAGTTTGCTGAGTGGCGGCGCTGTAAGTGGCAAAAAAATTCATCTACTGGCAACACGTTGCAGCCTATCCTCGATGGAAGGATGGTTAATGCAAAGTATCAATCGAGAGACAGGAATTACCGCAACTATCAGCTTGATACACTGGAAGTCACGCGTCGTATATCGAAGTGGATCGCCTCGAGCTTTTCCGGTCGTAAGGGCGATGCCCATGAAAATATTGTCGATAGACCTCCCGTTTGCGTTTGTACGAGAGATGTCAGGCGCCTTAAACGGCTTCTCTTCACCTTGAATAGACAGCTCATAGTGACAGTAAGTGACACTGGTCTCAACCACGGAAAAACCGCTGAAATTCCACGATTTTAAACGTGTGAAGTCTCTTGTCCGATAGATTAGAGCATATTCTTGATGACAGAAATGATAACATCAAGCCAGGTTGTCCAGTTTCCCTGCCTGCCTGCTTATACGTCCAAAATCATTCGCCCGCTTCGATGCCGACTGCTGTAGTAACTTATAACATAATCTGGTGGTACTTCTTTTTCCTTGGAAGGCGAGCGAAAGCTGGAAAATATTGGGTGATACATCACTTGCTTGAGTGTGGGACGCTTTGCAGGATCGAAATCAACCAAGCTTTTCAGTAGCTCCATTGCCCCCGGAATCGACTGCAAGCCTTCGCGGCATCGACGAACTACATCGTTGGAACCACTGGCAATAGAGTACAACGACTGATCATGGTCAAATTGACTCTTCGTCGAAATAGCGTGTAATTGAGCGCTACTCGTGCCGTTTGTTCGTCTGGATCGCCGTTGGGGGTGCTTAAGCGCTGGATCATCCGGTCGTAAATGTTTCAGCAACAGTTGCCACACCTTTTCAATTTCATTTCTTTCGCTTGGATTTTGCTCTGGCAGCCCAAAGAGTACAATGAACCGATAGAGAGTGTGGCAGAGCGTGTTCTCATCATCACCGCGCGCCACGCTCTTAATCACAGAAAACCCCGAATTCTTTCGTGGGCTCTTAACATTACGTACCAGAGAAGCATTCAGACCCAAAACACAGTGTCAGACAAGTAACGCGCATTGCTATCGAGAAATACGTACCATCCAAATGAACTTCAGGTCCTTCAGGAGTTCTATGGGGCAACGTACGTCTTCCAAAATCTCTTCGTATGGTGCGCTATATAAAACAACAGCAAACACGTGAAGAGAGCAGGTAATGCAGCAAAAGTCGGACCACGATACCACATACCATCCAGTAAATAAGTGTAGCACGCAGAGGCCTAAACAAAATGTGTCTGCTGCGTAAGACTGCTTGGCAGCGTCACCTTCTAATAAGAATTCGACCGGTGAGTTTTCCAGTGTAGTGAACTGGTCCATCGTGACGGGGCTTCCCAAAGTTTCAGCGTTTGAGTCGGCTGCGCCAAAATCAGCCAATTTTATCCAGTACGAAAAGGAGGCAGGCATTTGACAAACAAAACAAACATCTTCCAGCAGGTAATGCAGGACGACATCAGATCCTGGGTCCTTGCGGATGTTAGCACGACCAATGTCCTTCAGGAAGAAGTTGAGAAGCTGAAAAACATTTATCAGAATCATGTTAGTTCATATACTTCAACTAAAGAAAGCAGGGATGACAAACCTTTACATCACAGTGCCGCAAATTAAACTTTTCTCGAGCACAGTACAGACTATACACCATTTGGAAGAAAAATGGCACGGCTACAGATACCAGGGGAAGCGTCTTATTCTTCTGTAATCCGATGAAATCTTCCAGATCGCCACCGTCGCAAAACTCCATCCGGATATATTGGAACAACCGTTTACTTTCGTCGCCTGAGAATACCGATGGGTTCTCCTGGTAAATTACACCGCCAGAATTATTGTTTATCTCTGTTAATAATGCAGTCGGCTTCCGATGCGATTTGCTACCCCAGAGATCAGGGCGCGGTCGCTCGTGTGCGAGGAAAACATCGTAAATTCGGAGGAAGTTTGGACAAATGCCGTGCTCAAGTGCGTCGGATAGCAGCACCGAGTGAGCCACTTCTTGACAAACAACACTCTGTGACAAAGCAGCCACCAGGTGAGTGCATACAACCGTTTTGTCGTATTCTATTCATATACTTTACACACTTACCTGGTTGCCGGTGGCTTCTATTGCACTAATATCCATCACGCTGATAGCCTCTAGTCGGCCTTGCTCGGACGAAAACACTTTGTACACTTCCTTGTAAGCACCATTCGTGAGATAATGGCCACGCGGGTGGCGAAAGTACATGTGTGCTGTTGAGTAGACGTTTGCTTTCCTGCATTAACACGATCGGCAGCATCACAATAGAGCTCAAAATATAGCAACGAGGATACTCAACCGAGGGTTCTACGTACTTGGAGTAGTCCGCGATAACCCAAGCGTATGCCCTATTGTGCAATACATCACATGAGCTGACTCAGAGGTTTGTATTAGCAAGCACACTGCTCAAAACGTACATCGTAGATACTTGGCGAAGCACTTCCTTGAATGTCTTCACATCTATCAAACCAGACTGAAGTACAAGGTACAGTACACGTTCTCCCTGCACGTTTTTCTTCTCGGCTGCTCTGCTGTCGCCAAGCGAAATGCGACGCTTAATCGGTGTCAACGACATCTTTTCAACCTCCTGATTCCACACCCAATCATCTTCAACAAGCGGAAGAAAAGAAGAAGATGATGGTGTCAAAGCAATAGAAGACAATCGCCGGCCTGATATTCTCCCTCGTTTCGACAACCGCCTGGCAAGACGACGGTCTCGACGAATCGAAGGTCGTGCCAATATGTCTTCCATCGCGTCAGCGATCGCGGTGTGCTGTATCGATGACAACAATCGGTGGTTTTCTGCAAATGACACGACCTCCAATTTTTGCGATTCCAGCTTTTGGAAATACGTTTTCAGCCGAATCATCGCCGGATTTGTTGAGTAATCTCCACCGTGTTCTGTGCCAACTTTATTGACAAGCGCATCGTCTTCACTCATAAGGCCAATGTCCACATGTCGTTCTTCTTCCTTGTCCCCTTTCCTATTCACACCACAACAATTAGCACAATACGAGACGAGCTTCAATCTTTGAAATGTTCTCAGACTTACTCGGTAATCGATGGCATTCTCTGCTTTAATTCACCTAAAATCACATCCGCTTTAAGGCTAGCAATGCATCGAGCATTGCGACCCAATGAAGTACTGGATTTGAAACCCAGCGCTCTGACCCAATTAGCCCACTCATTGCGCTTACGTTTGTTTTTCCAGCTGGACGGCGGCAATTTTACGATGTAACCCTGTCCTTTACAAAACTCCGTCTCCAGCTTCACTTGTTGAACTGGACTTAGTTGTTCATCCAGATACTTGACAAAGTCCTCGGGTGCCTCTTGTATTAAGTTGTTGGTACTTTTCCGCTCGAACGATGCGGAAGGCGATGGCTTGAGCTTTTTCCGCTGCTGTATCGACTTTTGTGCCTTGGACTTTCGCTTGCCACGTGCATTTTTTACTTGAGGAGATGGTATAAACTCTAGGAAGGAAGAAGATGCAGCGTCTTCCGCCTCGTCCGTAGACGACCGTGGTGAGCTGCAGACATTGCGCACTCCTGCCATGATTTCAAACTGATTGGACAGCAAGCAGAGTGATGGTCAAACCGGGATTTCAGTTAGTTTTAACCAATCATCGGCCGCAAAAGGACTTCAACATGCACGTGCGGCGTCGACAGGAACGATGGGCTGGAGTCAGTGACACCAAATAGTCATGGCTGCAATGATATGACGAAACCCGCATGGAAAAAGCTTGATATTGAGCTTGCACTTGTGCTGACTGAAGCTGCAGATAGCACGCGACCAAGCACTTGTCCCGCACGTGGAAGTGCAATTGATGGACAAGTTGTCTCGCGACGAGATCGATTGTCTCTTTCCGCTCGTGATTGAACGCATGTCTGGCTAGCTATGCAAGGCATCTTGCTGAGCTTAATGAAGGTGGGTTGGCTGCCTAAATAACGTTGCTGGTGTGTTATGTTACCGAGCTCTCAAGCAAGACAATGTGATGAAGAAAAAATGTCGGCGTTTATTGGCACGTAAATAGGGGGGGTCAATTATTCTATACAAGCTTGGATCATGTCATGTGGGCGGTTCCTTGTTAAACGGCAACGTCCACTACGAGTGAGAAAGGTTGGTATGTCCAGCGCAGTGTATTGCGATTGTGTTTTGCACTACGACCTTGTCGTCCGCTGTCTGGTGTAGTCTGGTTGTACCGTGCGCGGTCGGTCATTTTATTTAGGCCTGAACAGGGAATGTGCGCTGCGAGAGTAGCACGATCAGCTCGAGCTTAGAAATGGGAGACACATCGATGGGGCTGCGGTCCACGGCGGCGTCGGCGCTACCAATGATCTCCGGGACCATGGCGAACGACACGCCCTTGCGTGCTCTCCGCGAAGGCTTTGCCATCATGTCCTTCCTGACCCAGGTACAATTGCGAGGCCGCTCCTGCTTGGCGTACAAAGCACGCAGACACTCCTGGCGATAGTACTCAGTTAAGCAGGCCTCCATTTCTGACGCGCAACGCTTGCCTAGCATGTTTTCAATAGATGTGGAGTTGACAGCAAACTGCAAATGGGACGTTGGTGTCAAATTGCAGACTGAGAGTATTTTTCAGTCGTTAAGCGGATCAGAGACTTACCAGCAGTTCGTCGCTTGTAGGACATACGGACTCTGCCTGTCCAGCCAGCAGGTTGCGGCGAACGTGCGCGAGACTAGACTGGTCGCATTACTCGCCACGTTGACAGCCGTCTTATCGAGAAAGATGGTTTGTTTCTACTATTAATATCAGTTGAACGCCTGAAAGTTGGGCGGTTGCTTTGGAACCGGTCTCTCTTGATCATCGCCACCCACAAACTCTACTGGCGCATGTTTGTGGGTAAGACGCCTTGCAAAGGCTCCTGGAAAATAGGACAGAACGGGTACGTGCGCAGTAATATGACGCATGAGAACGACTAGAACGACTACTTCGGCAGCTTTGGGTGAAGATTCTTCCCTACAGATGCAGCCAGACAAACGCTTCAACAACATGCAAGGCCTGTTAACGAACATCCGCACGCAAGCTTGCTCCAGCATGGAACGTCTCAATCGCGTTCCGCTAATTCTCTCGTGTTCGAGCCTCATTCGCCGTCCAGCTGGAGTGTTCAAAGCCTGAATACTCTAGCTGGTCAGATCACGTGCTGCTTTTGTAACGGCCAGGTCAGCGTCTGATAAGTTTTTACTTGAGCATTTATTTCCCCAACTTTTGAGGATAGGGTGCACGCGTTGTCTTGCGTTTTGTATCAAGAACACACGACATAGCTTATCTCGGAAGTAACATATCTAGCTAGTCCTTGCAGCCTAGCGCCGGTGGCAGCTCGTGCCGTTCGATCCTAGTGTCGATTTTTTCATTGAAAAAATGCAAGGTTATCCACAACAGAAGGAAATAGCGAAAGTGTTGGGCCGCCCTGCCTCGAAATCTCGGCGCTTTGCTGTCGCGTTGTTGTCTCTAAAAAGTGCAGGTAGTACGATCCTTAGTTCTGCATTCTGCAAAGGCCTACGTTTATGTGAGCGATCCAGTATCATATGGTAGGCTCCATTACACTCCTGTAACGAGGAGCGGGTGAAGCCATGTCAATGCTGCAACACCAGCTGGTCTCTGAGCAAGCGTAGAAGCTCGGCGGTATGCCCTAAACGCCGTGCGGTATCGTGCAAACAGCTTGAGGGTCTCATTCCTGCCATCGTTACTTTCGACCCGCCTGCAATGAACAATTTGCCTTTACCACACAGACGTCCTAGCGCCAAGACGAACGGCTTGAAGCTAATTCAGTGTCTCTGGACGCAGCATTAGGACAATTTTGACCATTGAAAGAGATGCGCTATATACAGTTTCGGTGTTGCACTTTCCAATTCGCGCCTTCGAGCTACAACGGCCAAGAGACGAAGACCTTCAAAGAGCCGGTCAACCGGCCCCCTCCGACCAGGGCGGGAAGTCCCTCCAACGGGAGGCCCAGGATAAGAGGGGGGAGGTTTTCCCTCTGCTGCGTGCGCTATGGGGGGCAAGCGCAGCGTGCGAACCGTAAGGGGAGCACCAACCCTGTTACCCCCGGGGGGAGAGGATCGACGACCGCGGTTATCATTCCCTCTTTCCCCAATAGTTCCTGTTATTCTACGTCAGCCTTTAAGACGCCGATTTGATCGCCGAGCGCGAATCTCGGTCCCACGAAGTGAACTTGCCAAGAACGTGAATTGATCGGCCCCGTCCAGGTGCATCAGCGGTCGATCGGGACTGATCGGTGTGGTGCCCGGCGCTTGTTGCGATCATTGAGCCACTGTTTACACCTCGGGCTGGATACCCGATTCCACGTGCCCTTTTCGGAGTGTCCCCCGTGACGCCCGACGTCTCGAGCCAGCAGATTGAGCCAGCAGATTGAGCCAGCAGATTGAGCCAGCGAGGCGAAGAATGACGAAGTCCTGGTAGAAGCACTCCAGACATCTTACCAATCCTTAATGTTTGAAATAGACGGTCTGTTCTTCTTCACAGTTTCGAGCCCTCAGAGTTGGGAGCTCACTCAATGCCACGATGGCATAACTTGGGTTTTCGACGGCGCTTCGCCGCTAGTAAAAGGGAAATCGCAGGAACTCACCCAACAAGCGGAGAGCAAGCTCAGCCGACATGGGGTTGTCTTTTTTTTCCAACCCACAGATCCACCACTATTCGTGGTCCGCACCGCCTACGGTCCCCAACCATCGACTATTCACTTTTTTGAAAAAACAAGCTTTTTAGGCGACAAAGCGCGGTCTCGCAGCACCGCTGAAGCAGGTCATCGATCGGCTAGCCACCAAGAGCCAGAATACGCGGTGGCAATGCACAGCTTTAAATGTCACGCCGGCTCAGCTATGGGATCACGGCCATGCGGTAACGGAATACCAGCTATGGACACGATATCGACACGCTACCGGACAGCTAAACTTTTGGTACCAAAACCGACCCCCGGACGGATCATGCACATATTTGGAATGTGTAGGCCAAAAGGAAACCCAGGAGCATCTCTTTTGGGGATGTCCCCGCGCTCAGGCAATCTGGGCCCGGCTTATCAGTCATTGGGAGAGTACACCTCACCATCCTACCCACCTCCTGGATTGGCTCGAACACTGCGCAAACTGTAGCGTACCACGCATCTCGCCGCAGGTCACAGCAAAGCTGTTAGCCCGGTACCCGGAAGACATTGATCTATTCGCCACAGCCTGGAGGACGATTTGGGAAGTCGCAGTGACCGTCATTATCACAATGCTCTGGCAACTTCGCGTGGATAGGATTTTTAACAATGCGCTTATTCCGATACAAGCCAGTGAAACTTTGATCTGGAATCGGATTCAGCTCCAACTGAGGGCGCTCATCAAACGTCTGTATTGCAGGGCGGCCACAGCCGTCCGTGGAGCCCAACTATCTGCATGTTACGACATATTTATATCAGAACCGAGAGGGCAGTCCGGCGTTCATAGACGTGCTGCCAGCCGTAGGCAATTCCTGGACCCTCCAGCGTTGCTAGTGTGGTTAACTACCTACCAGAGATCTTGCACTAATCAGTAAATAGACAATCTGTTCTCTCTCTCTTCTTCACAGTTTCGGTGTCGCACTGATGGAGTAGCTCAAGGGAATGTCAAGAACATTGTTTTAGATCGGATAAACGTCTAGGAATTTTACGTTCTCGTCTTGCTCGTGCACTCTGCCTGAAATGTCGCACTCAAGTACTGTCTACCATAAGGCGAGATACTCGATTTGAAAAAAGGTCTTCGAATCGAATGGACCTTGCTTTATGGAAGATAGTAACACGGAGTCCTGTACGTTGCGGTCTTAGATTGATGAAAGTTACACATGGCACAATGCTTCAAGTCACACATCACGCAATTCTGTAATGTATAGCGGTAAGCAAACTTCTGTTTGCACTTCAGAGGAGACTTGCAGCCACTTGGTCCAAGTGGCCGACATAGTTTTTTGGGTTAGTAGTAGATACTATTGGTGTGTTTGATAAAAACTCTGGATTCTTGACGGCAGTCCGTTTAACGATGATATGTTGTCTAGTCACTCACGAACCAGAGTAACATGCTCTATTCTATAATAGCTTTTTGCGCGTCTGCAGCTCACAAAGTCTTGGTCAACGCGACAGAGCGTGATATCTATCGATTCTAATAATGGGTGGATGATCGCACTAGGACGAAGGCTCTGGCTTTCGGGTGGCGGGATCCTTGGCAATGGGATTGAGGAAGTGTATGTTTGATGGCTGTAACAGTTGCAATTAGCGAAGAGGCTTGGGCTCACTGTGGAAACAAACTAAGCTATAGCGCATCGAGTCGAGTCGAGTAGTTATAGCGTGTTCAATTTCTAGTTTTCAATTGCTTCTAGGAATCTTATGCTACAACCAAACAGCAAATTGTTTTCCCGAGGCGGCGTCAGTTGTCGTCTTCGGCTCACTTATACAAACAAGAAGTGTTCACAACGTAGCATCTACCATGCCATCCGACAGAGACTCCAAGCATTTTGTGTCGATGCAATATGATATCGATACGCCACAAACATTCCATATTTCATCTGCTACGTTGCATGAAGTTCAAATCCACGTCAGTCTCAAATGCTTAGCTAGTCTTCCCGATATTTGCATGAAAACGTTTGGTCTACTATAAGCGTCCATCACACAAATAGTGTCATGCTCAGCCACCCCAACTCAGTTGTGGTATGCTGGGCAACAAACATTCGGTTGCACTTCCATGGATGCTAGTATCAGAAGGAAGCAAGACATATAGCGTGTACCTTCGTCACACTACCTGATCTGGTTCGTGCAATTTTGACGTTTCTGCCTAGCCTCGAGTGAGTCGATCTCGTCCGTGATCTTGGACTGCAAAATTTCCTCTACAATATCCTCAAGCGTCACTAGACCCTTAAGTTTGTAGAACGGATCACTCTGAACAAACACACACATGCATCATGAGGTGAAAAATTAGTAGCCCTTGCTAAGAACTAATTGCAAACTTTACCGGTCCCGAGTTATTGACATCGTAGACAAGTGCCATGTGGGTGCTGCCCATTTTGAAAACACTAAGCACTTCACCCAATTGTGCGTCGAGCCAGATGCGATGCGCTGCGACAGCAAAAACGCGCGCAAACGCCATCAGCGGAATGTCTTGGTTCGGATCCACGTATATCAAGTCCTTGGTAAAAACAATGCCCACTACGTCGTTCTGGTCCTTGTTCCATACAGGAATGCGACTGTATCCGTTGTTGTAGATCATCTTGAGCACCTCCATATTGAGTATCGTGCTGGCGTACAAATCGACATGGGAAAACAACACAACCTCATGCGGTTAAGGACTCGAGCAAGCACTAATTCGCAGAGCACATGCAATACTTCTCAACTACCACATACTTGCAACGTGGAAAAGGATATCGGAAGTGTAAAGAGTTTGTCGGCCGGGATCATGATGTCGCTGACGACCTTGTACTTGTAACTCATTGCACCGCGTACAATATGCCCCTCATCAGGGTGCATGACCTTTCGTCGTACATGAATGTCCACGAGTTTTTGCAGTTCTCGCTTGGTAAACATCGTGTCGACATTTTCTCCAACTGTGCAGTCCAGCGCATAGCTCACGGGTTTGGCAAAAGGATACAGCACCAGTCTCAGCACTTTGACGACCGGCACGAATCTTGATCCAATTGACAATGCGTGTCTAGAACAGAGTGACTGAGGCACAATCTCTCCAAAGATAAGAATGAGGATCGTCGAAGCGAAGAAACCCACAAGGCCACTGGTCAAATCTGCAATCAGAATTGGCAGCAAACTATTTACAGCAACCGTCGTGAGCACCAGCGTCGTAAGCAACAGATTACTATCAGCACGGACGGGCAAGATGCGTCGCGCTGCCTTGGCCTTCATCACCTCATCCTTTGTAGCTCCTGAACGGTCTCCTGCACGGACGATCACATCCAGACTTACTTTATCCAATGACATGAGACCCAGAGTGAGACCCGAAGCGATGGCCGACATGACAATGAGGAGGAAGATGGCTATATAATGGATCGCTGCCAAGACATCCAAGTCTTGACCCGAACTTGTTCTTGCATCTGTGTTGGCTTTTTCGTGTGCCACAACCGTGATCCGTCGAGCTTCAAGACTTGCAGAGGATGTGTGGAAGAGCAATGACCTCATGGAGGAGACCGTTGATGGTGACAATGATGACATGAGGCTGGAAATTATAAGCACAGAGCGACATCGCAACATCACGAGACGGAAAGGAAGACTGAGACAAAAACGATAGCAGCTTCAGCCAGACAAATGGTAACTGATAGATCCAAAGCTTCTGCATCGAAACAGACAGGCGCACACGAACGTATCCAAACACGTATGCATTAAAATGCTTATGAATAGAACCTCCAGCAGTCGTACGTAGACTCAAGTGAGGCACTACACGTAATATCCTGCCTGTGCCATAATCTCCGGGTAGAGGTTGTGCCACTCTTGCACCAGCGGCGCGTACAGCTCCGGGTGCGATTGTTGGAAAGCAGCCGGGTCCTCAGCAAAGCAGACAAAGATCGTAGCAACAGAACTGTCGATGACGGCGAGGGGCGTGACAGCAACGCCAATGCCGATTACAAGGCCTAGGATTGCTAGGAACGCCGTGCTATTCTGGAAAACAACAGCGTCCGTCGTCTCTGCAATCAGTACTCCGACACCAGCGCATATAAGCCCTATGAAAGAAACGAGACTTCAGTCGTACACCATTTAGACCTTTCACCTTTTGTATGATGCACGTACCAACACCCAGAGCAGCGAAACCAAGCACGTTGCCAATAAGATCGTCGTTAATGATAGCATCGAAACCGCGCTGCTTGAAAAGCTCGAACACGGCCTTGCCAGCCTGTGTGAACTTGTAGCCGTAGATTCCAACGTAGACATATGCCCATCGGTTGAAGTATTCCATAATTGCCTGCAGGCAGCCTAGAATACACTCAGCAACGCATGCCAATGCGCTTCCATCCTCACGTCCACTTTGCGCCAACTGTAAACAAAACAGGACTCCAGTCAGTAAGAACAGAGCAAACTCTCGACACGGTCGCAGTGGAACGCACCGCACGAAGTGCCTGCAAAAAGGCGACGATAAGCGATCCAAAGCAAATGGATCCGAATGAAGAAGTCATGCTACGCTTCAGTGAGGCACCAGTAGCACCTGTCGACTCAGTGTTGTACCAGAACGTCGCGACGGTACCCGCGACGGTGGTGTGAGCAACGTTCTTGAAAACTTGAAGGCCCCAGTAGAAAGACAGAAGCAGAAAAAAGTACGCAACATACGATCCCCCCGACTGCTGGTACGACGAAGATCGCGTAGAAGTCGTAGTGTTGGTGCTGGGATTGTTTTTAGCAATCTTGTTGGCAACACCCAGTAAAGCCAACGCCCACACCACGACCCATGCAATCTGCACGATGGTGAAAACAATCGACACCACGTAAGTAGACGAGTGTCTGGCAATAGCCCCTTCAGCGACACGCAAGTTGGCGACAGCAAACGGAATGCGATGCTGCACGGCACGAGCGTAGCAAAGGTTCAGCAGGGCAATGATGAGACCGATAACGGCAATGAAAATGTTGCCGACGATGAATCCATAAGCTGCAAAGGCGAACGAAATGCCCACGTTGAACCACAGCACGACCAGAATCATGACGCGAGCGTAGGCCACAATGAGCTTGACCATCATTAGAGCCAATACCATCGACACGACGGCCATGCCCACGGAAACAACCATCACGACCTTCGTATCATCACCCGACAACAACTCGCTCGAATTATTTTCCGGGTCCGTCACCGTCTTGATGCCCCATACAGCCATCAACGCGATGATAACGCCCACATTTATCACAAAAAGCAGTGCAAATGGCCAGTCTTGACATCCAGCTGTAGTAGTTTCGGTGTTTTTTTGCTCACTAAAAAACATAAAAACGTTTTAACATTCGATAAAACAAAATTAACACTTTTTCCATTTTTGTAAGAGAATGACTTGCGTACGGTTTCATCGGGTTCACATTCGGCACACTTGATACGTATTCGCCCGTGTACCTAATGAGATACACGAACGCTCAGTCAGTGGACTAGAAGATGAAGAAAAGAACAGGAAGAGAACGAGACGTACGGTTGTTGAAACATAATGCTTAAGGGTTTGTTTAAACTACAGTTCTTCTTTTCGATGTTTTGTACAAATGAGATAAGTTAATGTGCGGACAAAAAGGAGATGGGTCATAGGACTATTCAAGAGACTATAATTGTCACATCACTGACGAAACAAAAAAGGGCGCTTCATCACAAATTTGATTTATTTTACACACCGTACACAAATTCGTCCCTAAAAATATATTTTACTTTCATCTGCCATTTTTAGCATTTCAAATTTATTTTTCATTTTGTGATATGTTTCAGATCCGCATAGAGGCCGAGGAAGAGGAAGTCACAGTCGAGGAAATCGTGCAAGAGATACACGATGCATCCTTTCTGGCTGGAAATCCTCAAGTTTGCGTCATTACTGGAAAATTGCGTTTTTACCGGGCAGACAAGCCGTATTCCTCTATTTCCAGCAGCAGTGGCAATCAACATTTGCCCAGTGAACGCAGTGCATTAGTGTGTGTAGTGACGGTGCCATCGCACATGTCTCCTGTCGAAATTCTTGATTTCTTGACCAGTTTTCGAGAAGATATTGCACTTGTGCGCATTCTCAAAGACCCTGAACGCAACAATTGCATGGTACTCATGCAATTCAAGTCACAAGAACGAGCGGATCAGTTTTTTCAGGTACAGGATCAAGCACAAGAATAGATTCGATTTTGTGTGGTAAGTAATTTATGTTTTGAAATGTACATATGAGCCAGGACCATAATGGCAAGTACTTCAACTCGATTGAGCAAGAACGGTGCAAAATCGTGTTTGTAAGAAGCATTGAGTTTGATCCCGTGATCAATGAAGGATATTCAGACTGCGACGCATTGGAGGAAAAACACGCAGAGAAAAAGGATGTTGTTGCTGCTACGTTGAGTCCTCGTTCGGAGAAAAGGAATAGCAGTGCCCAGATGCGGAAGCTGTTTCCGCTGCCACCAGTAGGAATGACAGAGATCCCAACGTGTGCAGTCTGTTTAGACAGACTAGACGCTTCGGCATCGGGTATTTTGACGACGCTGTGTAATCACTCTTTTCATTGTGATTGTCTTTTCCGATGGGAAGGATCGAGCTGTCCAGTGTGTCGATACAGCCATGGAGACATCGGGTCGTCGTGTGAGGTTTGTGGCACAGCTGAGCACCTTTGGATCTGTCTGATCTGTGGCCATGTAGGCTGTGGGCGATACTCGGGTGAACACGCTAAAGAACACTATCAGGATACGCTGCATACGTACTCGTTGGAATTGGAGACTCAGCGCGTGTGGGACTACGCCGGCGATGGATATGTGCATCGTCTAATTTTGAACAAGCAAGACGGTAAGTTCGTGGAGTTCCCAAGCCCGAAAAACCATAGTGGTGAACGTTCGCAGAATCCCCCAATTACTTCTGCAGAGGAGGAAGCAGGCGAACATCGGAAACTCGAGAAGCTCGCAGTCGAGTACAACTTTTTGTTGAAGAGGTAAGAAGCACTTGCTCATTCATTGTTTCAACGTCTAGTAGATCTGATCTTTCTTGCGGCTGCTTGTCATGCATTAGTCAGCTGGAAGAGCAGCGCCTTTACTATGAACGACTGCTTGCACGCGCAGAAGAAGACGAAAGCCGGCAGCTGCTAAATGCGCATGAGCGCGAACGCAAACAGCTCAAGAAAGCAAATATAAATCTAGCTCAAAAGACAATCAAGCTCGAGGAGGAGCTGACATTTGTCAGGTGTGCAACGAATATAGGACCAGTCTGCTGCTGCATATTGGACCGAGCTAATGGCTGCATGTTCTTGGTTCGTACAGAGAGCTGAACAAATCGCTAATTGAAAACCAGAAGCAGTGGAAGGAGCGAATACGCGTGTTAGAGGACCAAAACGCACGAATTGAACAGGAAACAGCATTGCGGGTTGGAGATTTAGAGGGCCAGGTCCGCGATCTCATGTTCTATCTCGACACGCAGAACAAGGTTGAGCAAAGCGCACACCGAGAGGATATTATCGTACGTCTCTCCTTCTTCGTATGTGTAAGTGAGACAAGACTGACACGTTGCTCGATTTATATGATATATAGGGTGGCACCATCGAAACTGAATCCGCTAAGGACAACACCGCGGCCACTTTATCGTCTAGACGAAAGAGCAAAGGCAAGAAGAAATAGAAACATGCAGCTCAATTGTTGAAGACGTACAGTACTGCCATGTGCAGGCTCTTTGGACTACACATTAAGCGTGCACTACAATGCTCACTTCCACTGTGCCACCCATTGGGACCTCGTCAGTGACTTTGTCATTCTACAAGTGCAAACTATCCGAACCTCTAGCTATAACATCCACAGAAGCATCTCTAACGCTATACTATAACTTAGATGACAATGATTATTATGGCAAGAATAACCTGCTCGCCATCAGATCATTTGTTTGCCTTCCTCAATGTTGTCCACATCATATCAAATAGACACTTCATTAGCTCTTCATCTTAAGCGCGGCATTTGGTCTCAATCGTCTTCTACATCTTTTTAATGTCCTTAACATTTTCCCCTACCACTTCAATGGACGAGTTTCAGCTGGACACCCAACTCTACACAATGATTGAGCTGGAAGGAACTCGATATCGTGCTTTCTTTGCGAAATTAACGAGACAGGATAATCCTCTTCTTTCTCGAGATATCGCGCTTGAATTCTTTCACAAATCGAGTCTTTCTGAAGAACAGGTACAGGAACTTTATGCTCAAATTAAGGAACAAAAACTACTGCGAGACGTGGACCATATGAATGAGACCGAGTTTGTGCTGGGGATGCACTTTATTGTGTGCATGACCAAGCGAAACCTCGTCAAGATCCCACCCAAATTCCCCACCTATTTGTTCCCGACGCTGGACTTAACGGCCGAGAGTGTCCAGACTCAAGCGCCCCAGACGTCAAATGACGCGCCATTGCTGTCACTTTCTCCTGCAAGTGACACACCGATGTCATGCGGTATGACGTCAGGTTTTTCTCTAAGTGATGCCAAATCGCTGAGTGACTTGCTGGCAAAGGAACGACACTGTAAACAATACGAAGCCCAAGTGTTGTCAAAGGTTGAGCAGTCTGAAGCGAGAACGCTGCAGAGTTTGCACGAGTATGTGGAACACATTGCTGCCCAAGTGGACAAACTGGGATTTCCCGTGCCCAATTCGACAAGATCGCTGAGTACTTTGGATGATCTGAAAAACTTGTTGCAAAAGTACGTGTATGGGACCAAGCAGGAAATTGAGAGCATGCAAATTGACGCGCAGATGCGCAATGTGACATCGGAGGTGCCACAAGACTCTGCTTCACGAGAAGATCCTTTAAAGATTACAAGTGGTTTGACGCAGGAGCTTTTGGCGCTGCAGCTCCAGACTGCACATCTTATGGCGAAAAAAGTAGACATTGTCGGACGACTTGTAGCTGTGACAACAGAAGACTCTCATGCTGGAAGTATTATTCAGCAACCGGCATTTACAGAGTCCAAGATTCCTCCATTTGCCTTGTCTAAAGGCGCTCTAACAGTAGGAGAGCTGGGAACGTCCTCAGCTTCGACGATGCTTCCTAAGACCTCAGATTCTATATTAGTGCAATCTACGACTGACGGCGGCTGGGACAATTTTGGGGCTGCAAAATCAGAAGACTCACCTGCTCCTCAGCCGTTTGGAGTAAAGATCGACAGACCACTGGCTTCAAGTGACCCTTTCGGCTTCGGGTCGTTGCCCGCTGCTCCAGGTGCTACTGAGGCAACAACTCAAAATTCGGCGCTAACACCAGCACCGGAAAACAACTTTGCCTGGGGTTCGTTTCAATAATTTCTGCTCATAAATCGACTTTTCAATGGAGCAAATTGTTTGACTTGCACTTTGATTACAAAGTGGCGATCGATCGCGATGACTTGAACGGTGGCTGGTTTTCATAGGCAACGACGCAACTTGCGTTGTCTGCTATGTAAAAATTGTTTGACACAAGTTTTTGGCCAACAAGTGGAAAACCATCTGCTATGACGCCTGGGATATAGTTGGTCGTAAATGACTCGAACTCTTTGCATATGGTTCAACGAGACCGAAACATAAGCTGTCAAGCGCTGACCTGACCAAAAGATGGAACAAGAGTGCTCGTAAATGCAACACACTGGCCAGAACCATACATAAGTCGGGCATAAGCTCTCGAGCACGGCGCGACGAGATACATTTTACTCAAATTTATTGCAAGCAGCGTTCATTGACGCCGATGGTATTCGCGCATATCGCGAAGCAAATACTTTCGCGGTCTAAATCTACTACGATGGTCGGACTCATTCTAGATAATTAAAAGCTGACAGTAAAACGTTTTTGTAGAAGGAACGTGCCATTTGGCAAAACATGCCCGAACCATCAGACGATAACCTCTGCGGCTCCGCTGCCCGAACAGGACTACTCAGTTATGTAATGAATGGGTCATCGTATAGTCGATCAAATCAAATTTGATCGAAACTTTGTATATCCGAAAAATGTCCACTTTTTTGAGGACATGTTAGAAGACAATTTCTTGCGTAAGTTGGTAGACCTCAATGCACGCTCTATCTACACTACTTGCCTCAATTGCATCTTTCGCCACTTCCCGATGCAAAATCTTGCGTCCAATAATGCTTATACTTGCTGCTTAAATTGTACGCATAGCCGCACTCAAACATCTTGACCTTGGAGCTCAGGATGTTGGCTCTATGTGGCTTCGACTTCATCCAGCTTGCCACTACACTGGCTACCGTTGCATGACCAGCGGCGACATTCTCCGCAAGAAATGTCCAGCGGTACCTCTGCGTTGCAGCTCGGCTCGACATGGTAGAACCATTCGAGCCTGTATGACTCATAAAACTTCTCTTGGCCATGTCCCTAGAGTGTAGGAGAGCCGCATTTCGCAGCTTGTTGTTCAAGCAAAGCTTTGGCAGTCCAAAGGCTGTGCGCTCCCTGTTCACAGCATTCAGCATAGTCACGTGGTAGTCGACCGTCTCAGTCTCGGCGAGATGGCGTAGCACGCTGTTAGTAGTGTTGCTGTCGGAATCGGCAGCCATAGTCGATGCACTTGGGATAATGGTGACAGCGATGAGCAGGAAAAGTAGCCTCAACAACGACATCGCAAGTTCAATGGGGCGTATGTTTGATTTCGAGAAAGAGTGATGGGACCGAGACTGGTGATATTGCAGAGTGAGGGTGACAATGCTTTACAAGGTGGATGCATCATCGTGAACTGCTGGCAAGGTTTGACTTACACCCTTATGTTAACGAAGCATTTTTATAACAAGGCGGTACAGCAGCCTGTCGTCCATGCGAAGCTAGTGTCTCAACGACTGCTGAAACTTGAAGTACAGCTTTTGTGTCCAAATGAGTCTCAGCCTTTCCTGAGCCTGTTAAAACCACCTCAAATGCTTCGATCGTCATGTTCGAGGCAAAGGTCGCTATGACTTTTTTCAACAATGGCTTGAGATTTTTGCGTGCTGATTGATACCCATAAAGCAAGACGACTATGTCAAAGCATTTTGACTAAACTTTTGCATTGTCATTTCTTTACGAGCGTTTGTAAACCTGACTTGAGCAAGTATAGAGGCACGACAGGCACACGACCAAGTCTGAAACCGCAGCAAAGAATTGTTGATCGCGTCTATTCGTCAGTATCCCGGTCTTTCGGCTCCTGCAAATGTAGATGTTGCAAACGATATCATGTGAATCAATAACAGGAATCACAACTATGTTTCTGACAGTACCTGAGGTTCCAAGTCATCGCCATAGTTAATGTCATGATCAACATGCATGAGCACAGCCTCGATGCTCTCTTCGCGGTTAATATTCATGGGAACAAAGGCCACCATGCTGAAGTCATTGATCTATGGACAAGATTGATCCATATTTAGAGAATTGAGTTGCTTGTCCTTCGTACAGGCTCACGAATATAACTTCTTCTACGCACCACATTGCAAATCGCCGAACTCAAAGGACGCCACTTGGGGTCAGTAGCATTCAAAAAGGTTTTCGAGAAGGTACCCCTCCGACGGATCCAAATATCTAGAAATCACAAGAAACATCATTAGCATCTGATGCCCAGTCTGGCGTCTAGTCATCTAACTAGTGACCAAGAAGCTCGTAGCAGAGAAACCTACTTTGATAGCTCTTTATCGTCAACCAAATCACACTTCGTGAGCACATTGATGTGAGGCAACTCGAGCTGGACCATCGCCGACAGTGAGCAAAGCACACCGGAAACGAACTTGGTCGGGTCAACAATAAATAATGAGTCGATCTACAAAACAGGCCGGTCACTGATGAGAGGTAAACACGCCGTCTCGGTGGTGCAAGCATGAACTCACCAAGTAAAAAACGCAGCAAATATTGAAGCCCCAGTCCTTCAATGAATCACAAAGCTGCTTCATCACCGGAAGGTGCGAGTACAACTCAATCTGGCCTGAATGCCCCAAATGATAACAAGAATTAGCACTATCTGCACCAAACTACCACTAAAACACATCCTGCCAACTTGGGCAGTCAAAGATGAAATAGGCTTCATCGCTGTATTCGCCCAGCAAGTCTTGCAGCCAGTCGAGGTTCTGCACAAGATATCTGTTACAAAATAGCACATGAAAATCCGCGCCGTCTACATCAACCTCTAGCAAAACACAACAAACTCAACCCACTCCATGCAGTAGATGAGCCCACCATTCGGTCCGTAGCCTAACTCCTCCATTACGTCCTCGACGCTGATCAGATCGCGAATGTCTGAACACCACCCATAAACTATTATTTTTACTTGTCATATGGCTCAAAATCAATAGAAAATACTACTTGCCAAAGGCTTAAAGGTAGTCAAAGTGTGCAGGATCCATATTCACTACGTACGTCATGCGCCCAGACGCTGCACGGAACTCGTGCATATTGTTGCAATATGTAGACTGCGTATCCCGGTCGAAAGGCCAAACAAACAACCACCCGCAGGTCACAATTCATTCATTTTATGGCTATAGAGCGAGAAAACAATGGAGAAACTTGCCGTGCTATTGGTTTACATTTCCGGTGCCCGCAGGACCCATGACCATCTGACAACAGCGCATGAAAAATGAGCTCCACCACTAGTGCATACTAAAGTGATACAATACATGTACAATACTGTTTGAGCAATATCTCACCAAACAATGTTCATGAACTGCATCGAGCCTGATATGTCCCTCCACTGCCATCGATGGAGGTAGAACATCACGTTTTTCAGGCAGTCCGTATTTGCCACTGGACCGCAAATTTATCCTATGTTGCGAGGGACCTGTTTCGCAAAGACCCGAAATTTCTGATTTCGTCCTTCTTCTCAATATCACCCCACGCGAAGCCTACGACCCTGTCCTTAAAGGCTTTTGACCACTTAACGCCGCCGCCTGGAGAACTCTCCTTCGCCTGCTTGGCACGCTCATCGAACACATCTTGCACACACGCTTAAAGTTTGAGCGCTCGTCCGATGGATTGCGGTCAATTTGCCCGATGAATGCAGTCGGGAACGCCTCGATCTCGACAGACACATGCAAGCAACGTCCACAGGGTGTCCGTCGTCATCGCCACCACTGCCGCCACTGCGATCGTCTTGCTACTGCGGTCGTCTTGTCAGAGCTGGAAGTGTTACAAGTCATTTGCGATCAAGACCTGTTGATGCAGAGCTCTACACCGCTATACGCCTACATGTTCACTATCCGATTGCTAGCTACGACGGCCAGAGTGCTGCTGCATTTCGGCTTGACACGGGCGTATAATATTAATAGCCGCCCAATATCACGGTGGAAGCTAAGCACGGCTTGTATGATACGGAGACGCAGAAACTGACGCGTGGGATGGAGAAACTCGCGCTGGAGCCAATGGGGAACGCAGCCGTGTACGATCTCGTGTCTTTGCCATTGACATCATCCAAGACCATCTTAAGGACCAACACTATTTTTCGACCAAATGATGACTCGGCAACAGGACGCGGAGGATTGGTAGTGCAGGTACGTAATCGTCTAGACCGACAGCTTTACGCTGTCAAGAAGGTCAAGCTAGACCCAGACGACAAAACGAAGGAAGAAGAAGATTTGCGTGAAGTAAAGACACGGTACGAATGTAGCACCGACATATCGTGCGGTACTTTCAGGCATGGATTGAAGGCAAAGGCACGATAGGCAGCCGAACGGGACTGTAGCCTGTATCGACGTCTCGCCACGACTCTCGTGGTCTGCGAAGTAAAAGCCAAACATACGTGCTACCTTCGCATAATTGTGCATCCGAGAGCTTTCCTGATGATGGCTTTGAGTGGGAAGCGCTAGAAGAAGCTCCGATGGACGAGGTTGACTTCAGTGACGATGGAGATGTTGTATATCTCGTCGAGTAACGGCCTCATAGAAATCCTGTGTTCGAGGATAAGAGGAAGTTCAAGAAATTGTACATGCAGATGGAGTTTTTTTTTGCGAGGGAAACGCTCTCAGAGAGGCGACAGACAAGGGAGGTTATGGAAAGACGCCAACTAAACTTGGATGATGTGTCACCAAATCCTGGAGGCGCTTGTCTACTATTCATCGTCAAGGCATTATCACCGCGATATCAAGCCGCCTAACGTGTGTTTAGACTCGGCCGGAAGTGTAAAGCTAAGAGATTTTGGTCTCGCCGTTCAACCTTCCAAGGTTACGGAAGACGACGATAGCAACGGTGACTCCTCCCCTTTCGGAGAAACTACGACTGGCGCAATATTATCCGAATCAAACGAGTCATTTGCTGCCAAGTTCTATGGGTGAAAAAGATAATTATGTGGCTCTGCGAGCGTGATCCATCCAGACGGCCGAACACGAAGGAGTTACTGGCGAGACCACTGTTGCCTGCTTAGGTAGAGATTGAAGGTTCCTAGGCTCTGGAAACTCTCGCAAACCCACATGGCAAATTTTTAGTCAACTTGTTGACGTCCTGGTCTCACAGAAGCCTCTTAATCACACCGACTACACGTACGATCATCTGGAGTCCGTTAAAACGTGCAGCTACGAGGTCCAATTACGCGCAAAAACATACGCCAGGAACGTTTTACAGGCTGGGAACCATTTTATCTTTTGTAGCGGATACTGTGCTTGAGTCTAAGCGGAATATGTCATGGTTGAACAGAAAGTGTTCCAGCGCCATGAAGCCCATGAAATCTCAACACCGCTGCTTATGCTAAGTTTGTTTGAGCAGAACAACATTACTCTGAACACCCCGCCAAACGCATCGATGATGTTAGACAATAACGGTGTGTTAGTATCGCTTCTATTTGATTTGACAGAGCGACTCACTCGCTTCGTGGCACGGCAATGTTTCACGTCTGAGGTGCTTTAAATTTGATCGAGTAATCCGGAAGAGCGTTGGTGGTGACCATCCACGGAATTTCACCGAGTGACTTCGATATAATTTATGAGGATCGAGGCTGTTTTCGTTTCTTGGAACTGGAGGAATTAGAAGTGGTCTCAACTGTAATCAGAGCGCTGCCGCGCTGTCTGGGTTCCTACGATTTGCGCTTCAATAACGCTCGAAAGACGCACGGCATTCTTAACCTTTGCCGTGTTCCCAACAATGCTCGTCGCGAGGTGCAACGACTACTTGCGAACGAAGTTTTATTCTATGTGCACGCTGGCCCATCTTCCACTCAAGCTTCACGTCTGAAACCAGGACGCAGGAAATTTGTCACGAAGCGAATGAAACACTACGGGGCATCGGCAAGCTCTATTGATGCACTCAAACCATTCTTCTTGCTACCGGAGGAATGCCTTACGTCGCTTGACATTATTGAGTTGGAGGTGCAAAAAGCTATTTGCAAACAATCGGGCATTTGCGAACCGAGACTCAGCGACGGCAGCAAATGGTAATACTGGCTCTGCATCTCCGATAAACCGAAAACAGATCCAAAAGCGTGACGCATAGCTACGACCGCACCGTCAAAGATGTGAAAGAGGGTAGTACATCCTTGCACATATTGTTGCAAGGCATGCAGTTCCTTTAGCTGTCAGGTCTAGTGTGCACACGATTGGATTTGGGGCCAGATTATCATCGCTGAAGGTGGACGCTGATATCACGCTTTAAGCTCACAACGGCGTACGCAAACGCCTCTACTGTCGTTGCGATGGGTGTAAGTTTTGCCATCGATAAGATTGTATCGTTGCTAGCTGAGTCCATGTTTGCTGCGTAGCTGGAACTCAAGTCTCCAGCCTCAGAAGTCATGACAGGTGGCCGCATGGTTTTGATTTGTTCGGCAGGTACACGATGCTTTTTCGTATGCAGATTGCGATGCTGTTATGGGGACTCGGCATCAACGCAAGATACCTGGATCCAGAATTGCTCCTGGAAGGCCTCGACGATTACTTTGCTCAGCAAAACATCCAATGGATGGTGATTGTGCAAAATCACATGATGCGAGAGAAGCAACAGGTGAAGATCCAAGCAGTGAACAACCATTCTATTGCTGATGTGGTGATGACAAATGTGTCATAGTTGCCAGAGTGAATAGTCGAGCTACAGGCGATGGTTGGCAAAAGCTCCCACGGTGACACTGCAGCTGGTGGTGGCCGTGGACATGATTATATTGAAGAAAGTATAAACAGCAGAACTAGCGGTGGTGGTGGCAATAATTCTTCATCTACTGGCAACACATTGCAGCTGTCACCGTGGGAGCTTTTGCCAACCATCGCCTGTAGCTCGACAATTCACTCTGGCAATTATGACACATTTGTCACTCACCACATCAGCATTAGAATGGTTGTTCACTGCTTGGATCTTCACCTGTTGCTTCTCTCGCATCATGTGATTTTGCACAATCACCATCCATTGGATGTTTTGCTGAGCAAAGTAATCGTCGAGGCCTTCCAGGAGCAATTCTGGATCCAGGTATCTTGCGTTGATGCCGAGTCCCCATAACAGCATCGCAATCTGCATACGAAAAAGCATCGTGTACCTGCCGAACAAATCAAAACCATGCGGCCACCTGTCATGACTTCTGAGGCTGGAGACTTGAGTTCCAGCTACGCAGCAAACATGGACTCAGCTAGCAACGATACAATCTTATCGATGGCAAAACTTACACCCATCGCAACGACAGTAGAGGCGTTTGCGTACGCCGTTGTGAGCTTAAAGCGTGATATCAGCGTCCACCTTCAGCGATGATAATCTGGCCCCAAATCCAATCGTGTGCACACTGGACCTGACAGCTAAAGGAACTGCATGCCTTGCAACAATATGTGCAAGGATGTACTACCCTCTTTCACATCTTTGACGGTGCGGTGTAGCTATGCGTCACGCTTTTGGATCTGTTTTCGGTTTATCGGAGATGCAGAGCCAGTATTACCATTTGCTGCCGTCGCTGAGTCTCGGTTCGCAAATGCCCGATTGTTTGCAAATAGTTTTTGCACCTCCAACTCAATAATGTCAAGCGACGTAAGGCATTCCTCCGGTAGCAAGAAGAATGGTTTGAGTGCATCAATAGAGCTTGCCGATGCCCCGTAGTGTTTCATTCGCTTCGTGACAAATTTCGTGCGTCCTGGTTTCAGACGTGAAGCTTGAGTGGAAGATGGGCCAGCGTGCACATAGAATAAAACTTCGTTCGCAAGTAGTCGTAGCACCTCGCGACGAGCATTGTTGGGAACACGGCAAAGGTTAAGAATGCCGTGCGTCTTTCGAGCGTTATTGAAGCGCAAATCGTAGGAACCCAGACAGCGCGGCAGCGCTCTGATTACAGTTGAGACCACTTCTAATTCCTCCAGTTCCAAGAAACGAAAACAGCCTCGATCCTCATAAATTATATCGAAGTCACTCGGTGAAATTCCGTGGATGGTCACCACCAACGCTCTTCCGGATTACTCGGTCGAATTTAAAGCACCTCAGACGTGAAACATTGCCGTGCCACGAAGCGAGTGAGTCGCTCTGTCAAATCAAATAGAAGCGATACTAACACACCATTACCGTCTAACATCATGGATGCGTTTGGCGGGGTGTTCAGAGTAATGTTGTTCTGCTCAAACAAACTTAGCATAAGCAGCGGTGTTGAGATTTCATGGGCTTCATGGCGCTGGAACACTTTCTGTTCAACCATGACATATTCCGCTTAGACTCAAGCACAGTATCCGCTACAAAAGATAAAATGGTTCCCAGCCTGTAAAACGTTCCTGGCTTATGTTTTTGCGCGTAATTGGACCTCGTAGCTGCACGTTTTAGCGGACTCCAGATGATCGTACGTGTAGTCGGTGTGATAAGAGGCTTCTGTGAGACCAGGACGCAACAAGTTGACTAAAAATTTGCCATG